AGTTGTTTCATTTAAATTTTTCAAGTTTTTGTCAACTATTTGTCAACTTGATCAAATATTTGAGTAAAAAAAAATTACTGTCTAAAGGAAAACTATTCTAAAAAAACTACTTTACTATTTATTTTAATATTAACCTTTAAACAGTCTAGGCAAATTAAAATACGAATAAACAAACAGCAAACGTAGGTTTATTCATTAAAACTATTAATACTAAAAACACATTTTTTTTTTACAATAAGAAAACAAAAAACATGTCTCTTTATAAACTAAAAGCCTAAATATATACAAGTATAGTTGGAGGATGTCATTTTGGGAAAAACGCTACTATTAAAAAAGCAACTGATAGGTACTCGTGAAAGTAGGTTTCAAAAGACATACGCAAATTTTAAGCATCCTGCCCTGAATTTCAACGTGCGAATCCTAACAAAAATCCATCACATGCAACGCTCCATCCAATCCCAGTACATGAAATTTTTCATCGTTGGGGAATAGATCTAATTGGTCCTTTGAAAGAAACTAAGAACAGAAAGAAGTATATTTTAGTAGCAAAAGAATACCTAACTAGATGGCCTGAAGTTGATCTCATAGCAGAGAAAGATGCGGATTCTGTTCATTGTTTCATTCTCCGTCTGGTATTCACATTCTACTTCACGACCAAAAACACGAGTTTTGTAACAAGCTCGAGGAAGATCTTTTATTGATATTAAACATGGCGTTGGCCAAAATACAGAAAGGTGATAAATGGTTATATATTTTTTTTATCTTTGTACAGTTTTAATATTAACTTTAAAATTTCTTTAGTTTTAAAAAAAGGCATTAATTATTAGCTTTCAATGCAACAGTTACTATAGTTTATTTATTTATTCTGCACAATAAGTTTAACCAAACATTGATTACCCATTTAATGAAGCTCGTAAACAATGAAGCAAAAGACTGGGGTAAACTACTGGACCCGGTGGCTTTTGCATATCGAATAAATAAACAAGCTTCTACAAAATACTCTCCCTTTGAGATGATGTATGGAGTTAAAGCTCAGATTCCAATTAATTTAGAAAGCCGGAAGAGAGATTTTTCAGTGGGATACCAAAATTGACGAAGGCAAATAAGTATTACGAATGGAAAAGTGCGCTAAAAAAAATTGTTGCGATCAGAAACGCAACTAAAAAGAACATTGCAATGGCACAAAATCTGCAGAAGAAACGTTACAATATTAAACATTCAAGCCAATCATTTGCAGTTGGTGACAAAGTTTTAAAATGCAACAGATGTAAAGACACACGAATAGGTGATAGGTTAGCTCATAAATTCCACGGCCCTCACACAATAATAGAGGTTTTGTACAAAGGAGTTTATCGGTTGCAAGATAAAAAAATAATATTGAAACAAGCTGTTAACGGTATCAACTTAAAAAGATAGAGTGAACAACGGGATAACGTCATTTTAAGTAAACCTGTAGTCTCCGATTAGAATAATGATGAAGTTATAGCAACAGAAACATTGAAAACTTCAGTTGAAAAAATCAATAATTAGCAAAAGGTTTCAAAATCTGAATACTGGATAGATAAACATATCTTGGATAGATAAAAGTATCCTGGATAGATAAACATATCCTGGATAGATAAACATATCCTGACGCACTTCAGACGCATGGCTAAACGACAGAATTATTGATGCAGTCAACAAAATAGTTTCAACACATCTTGGTGACGAAAACAATCAATCAGCTCTTCTAGTTCAGATATAATCTGGGTTACCTGTGAGTCGATCATCAATCTTCACAAAGTCAACCATTGGGTGACAACTGCTTGCATTAAAGGAATGGTTTTGTATTTAAATAGCCTTCATGGTTCTGTTTCAAACTATGTTAAAACTCCAATAAAAACTGTATTTTAATCTTGTCAATCGCGAGGGCTTTCTTCCAGTACCTGTAGTACCATGCGCACTACAACCAAATGCATTAGACAGTGGTGTTTATACAGCTGCCTTTGCATTTCAGTTAATCATTTATGGAAAAGATGGCATAACGTAGACATTTAAAAACAAAATGATACGTTCACATCTCATTAGCTGTTTGGAAACATCAATCATCACGCGAAAACATCTTTTTCGAAAACCGTCTTACGTAAACGTAAATTATTAATTAATAGTAAAATATGTAAAGTTCTACAGTACAAAAAAAGTTAATACTAAACAATACAATAATTTAGTAGTATTAGCTGTAAAATACAGCTAATACTGCTAAATTGTTGTTTTATTTAATTTGGTTCTGTTTTTTTAAAAGAAATACTGGTTCATTTTTTATCAAGAAAAAAAAGGTTTCATTTTTTATAAAGAAAAAAAAGGTTTTATTTTTTATCGATGGAACATTTATTATGAGGAGGGGGGGGGGGAGGGGGAAAAAAAAAATTTTATCCGCTCCGGAATGTTTATTCTAAAATATATTTTCCGGGGGGAAAGTTTGTCTTGATACATACTTTCCGGAGAGGAAAAAAATATGGGGGAAAATTTGTTACGCGACATCGGCTCTAACCTAATTAGCAACATTGGTAAGAAAGGAGGCATGAACTCTCTATTTAAATGCTCTTTCGAGGTGCTCTGTAATAAAATCGTAAGAACTTCTGCAAGTACCTTTATAATCACACGCACACGCACACACACACACACACACACACACCAAACTGCGTAGCATTTTATGACCAATTGAGTTTCTCAAAAAAGTTTATAAAATGATCTTTCAGCACTAGCTGGAGTCACAGAAACTCGAAAAATAACATTAATGCAGTACATTCTTCAGGAAAACGGCATGACATAAAATAAATATTAATAAAATAGCAATTTTTTTAATACGTAAGACCTTTTCTATGTCGTTTCTAAAAGTCTACTGTTAATAGAGTTTTTTTTTTTTTTTTTTTTTATTTGTTAACAAACTCTAAATCTTTTTTTAAGAAATCAGTGTCATTTAAAGTTGGACGTTGAAAATCATTGAAATGTGAAGCAATTTTATCCATTAAATTCCAGTTGATTTTTAATGATTCCAAATACTCAATAGAATAAGTTCACTTTACACAAATTTTCCGGATCTTTAAGACACTTATCTTTGAAAGCTCATTGGCTTTATACTGAAATGTTTTAGAGGTGTATTGATAATTTGAGAAACTTTGCTATGTTAATGCAATGTTTAAGCTATTTTGGATTTCAACTAACAAAAATTCAGAGCAAAAATAGCGACAAAACACCATGCGTGTATATCCCCATAAAAAAGGGTTCAATGTTTTTAATGTTTTCAAAGTTGAAGGTACCATTTGTCAGATTCGAGTATATAGTTGAGTCAGATAGCTGGTTCAGAAAGTTGAGAGGTTGAAGACCCTCTTTGTCAAATACTATGCTAAAAAAAAATATAAATTTTTAGAATTTTTAAATCATTATTTTATATCAATAACCTCTCTTAGTGGATCATTAAGTACATAATTGTTCAAAAATGTTATAAGAAGCTTACTTAATATATACGTTATATACTCTATTTGGCTCAATACATTTTACGCGTTTTAAAACTCCGCGATAAGTGTCTTTCATTGTGTTAGGAACATCATATCTTATATGAGGTATATTTTTGCTATTTATGGATTTCATAACTTGGTTGAAAATTGCATAGTTTGGTCTTTAACTTCATTAAATCCTAAAAATGGTTTTTTAAAAAAAGCGCTTTTAAAATTCGTTTTTGTCTATTTCAATTTGAAAATTACTTTAAAACTCACGCATTTGATCAATTTTAAAATTGAATAGTATCATACATGATTGAGTGAAACGATGTGAAATTCATATCATTCATAAATACATTTTTTTTTTAGAATCCAGAATAATAGAACATTGTTTAGTTTCTATGGAGTAAGAAAGTTTAATGGTATTTTTATTTACTTAACAATTCTATCAAAATCAGACCATATATATGATCATATACAACGGTAGCTTGTGGTTCACAATATGTCTTCTGTTTATACGCCTTACGTTCAAGTTTCACGCCAGTCTTGAAAAAAGCATTTTTTTTTAGGAAAGGTCTATTCTCATCGTCTTATAAGAGTAAACCCGTAGGTTTATAATGTACGTTTTTGATTACGAACCGTTAAATTGAATCATTTAATAGTTTAAAATTACTCTTTTCATTATATAGTTAAAGATGCAACACAAATTACAAATAATATAATACTTATTACAAATAATATAATCCACCTTAATTTTTGCTAAAACTTGTCGTAGTTGATCTTGATCTAATCATGTCGAGTCTGTACGATGTCATGCAAAAAGTATAATGTTACTTTTGTTTACGTCAAGTTCTTTAGCTTGAATCGTTTACCGTTTTTCGAAATAAGCTATTATTTTATTTTTGAATATTTGTAATTGCTTCTCATGTATTAGCAGTAATCTGCCAAGTTTTGTAAGAGATTTATTAATGTTTTAAGTTTAAGTACAAGATTAGTATTTTTATTCTCCGAAAGCTCATAATCTATATTTTGTGAGCGAACACTTCATTAAGACATTTTCCAAGATCAAGTCACTATATTATTGAAAACGCTCCTTGTTTCCCCATATCTCCCCTTGTTTCTGCCATGTACCATCATAACAAACAGTAATATTGTAAACTCCAAAATGATATTAAACTGTAAACTTGCTTACATTTATCATATTGTGTACAATATATTTATACAAAGACATTATTGTATTTTGAACATCATCAAACGCTAATTTTGGCTTTGTGGGTTTTTAAAAAACTAAACATTTTTTCCAATTCACAATTTTCCTTTCACTTTCAAAAATTGCAATCACTGAACGCATATTTATATCATAAAATTGTTTTTCATAATTTTTCATTTGAAACTTTTTAACTGGTCTAGAAATTCATATTCCAAAATTTTTCAGCGCAACTGTAAAACAATAAAAAACCTTGTTACTTTTTTTTGATAATTTATATTCATTTTTATATATTTTTTATACAGAAAGGGTATGTTATAAAAGGGGGAAGAACAGGTATGATTACACCAAAATTAATCAAAATACTTGGACGTAAATAGACATATAAAACATAATAGAATGCAGATGTGCTCTCTTTCAAGACCGTTAGGTCTTCTTAAAAAACCTAAAGTTTACGCATCTTGATTTAAAACCTTTAGAGCAATCAGTTTATTTTTCAGCAATAAAAAATCAATTATGCGGCCGTGGCGCAGTGGTTAGAGCGCTTGTTTTATAAGGAAGAGATTAAACCAAGCAAAAGGTTTGAAGCGAGCTCTGATTATATTTAGCGCTTTTGTTAAAAACTTTCTGTTTAAATGTTTTTCCACGTTGTTCTGTGACAAGACCGTATGATCATTCTGAGGTACCAAAACTAAAATTAAAAAATATATATATTATTAATCAATAAAGAAAATTAATTACACTTAGGCTATATTTAGCATTACTAGCTTAAAAAAATAAAAAAGGTCTTGAAATTGCTCTACTTCACAGCATGTGATAAGAAACTAAGTAAAGTGGTTTGGTTTTAGTTTTAGAACAGAAAAGAAGCCAAATAACACTCTTTTGTTTTATTTTTGTAACCTTACTTTCAAAAATACATTATTAAGCACATAATGCAGTTACGATACAACATTAGAAACATTTACATAATTACTGAAGGCAAGTTTATTTTTTAAAAGGATTTTTTATAAGTTTTATTTGCATTTGCATCTCTTATTTGAAATGAAAAATTAAAAGTTTTATTTGCATACTCTCTAATTTGAAATGAAAATTCTTAATATATATCAGATTAATGTTTTTAATGTACAAATGTAAAACCAACTCCAACCCAGTTTCCTTCCTTAGAAGATAATTTATATACCTAAGAAGATAAAAATAAATACAACTTAAAAATCGATAATTTAATTTGTCATCTATTATTTCGAACTAATTTTAAAAAATCAAGCATGTCATTAAGTGGAGCTTCTCTTTGGAATAAAATAGTTTTAAAACATTTCGATTTTCGTTGGAATGGAGTTATCACTCATACAAAAAAAGCTTTAGGAAATCCATTTTGTAAATTGATGATGTATTTTTGCATTTTTAAACATTGAATAATTTATTTTTTTTATTTTTTATGCAGTGATGTAACTGAATATGTATATGTATGCACTTAAATTTTTTTTGTGCTTTATAGACTTGACCATATATATATGCATTTGATTTTTATGAGATTTTTAAATTTACGAGTGGTTCACGATAAAGACTTGATGATCTTCTGCGAGTGTTTAAAAACTTTTTAAAACTAAACAAAAGTGTGGGGTTTGATAATATTAGTAGTAATGTAATTAAAAAATCAACAAAGTACTTAACAACCCCTCTTTTACATATTTTTAATCTCTCTTTAAAACTAGGCATTTATCCGGATAAAATTAAAAATTGCAAAGGTCATACCTATTTTCAAGTCAGGAGACATATTTAATCCTGAAAATTACAGACCAATATCAGTTCTTCCTTGCTTCTCCAAAATCTTAGAGCGAATTATGTATAACAGAACTTTGACTTTTTTAAATATAAATAATATTCTATATAACAAACAATTTGGTTTTCAACCAGGGTATTCAACTGACCATACCATTATTAATATTGTTCACGATATATTTAAAGCATTTGATGAAAGTAAGTTTACCCTAGGAGTTTTTATAGATCATAGCAAAGCTTTTGATACAGTAGACTATAACATTCATATAAAAAAACTCGAAAGCTAAGGAATTAAAAGTACATATTTAGAATGGCTTAAAAGTTATCTAAACAATAGAAAACAATACATAGCACACAAAGAAATGAAAACTGAATACTTGACTATTACTTGCGGTGTTCCCCAAGGTCCACTTTTATTTCTTATTTATGTAAACGATTTCCATAAGTTTTCAAACATTTTAAACTCAGTTTTATTTGCAGATGATACACATTTATTTTATTCTAATGGAGATATCAACCTCTTATTTAAAATAGTAAACAAGGAATTTTTTAATCTAGCGGAATGGTTTAAGGCAAACAAATTGTCCTTAAATTTAAATAAAGCTAAGTATACTTTTTTTCATAGATTTCACGATAAAGAAAATATTCCATTAAAACCTACTGATCTTTATATTGGCAACTCTAAAATAGTTAGAATCATCATTAAAGTTTTTAGGAGTGATACTTGACGAAAACATGACACGGAGAGAACACATAAGAACAATTGAAAATAAAACTTCGAAAAATATTGGCATACTATACAAAGCTAAGAAAATCTTAAACCAAAACTGCTTAAAAATCTTATATTTCTCCCTCATACATTGTTATATAAACTATGCAAATATTGCATGGTGCAGCTCTAATGTAAGTAAAATTAAAAAATTGCTGAATAGACAAAAACACGTTGTCAGGATTATTTCAAATGCAGGTCGATTTGCACATTCTAAAGAACTATTCAAAAATCATCACATACTCAATGTTCTTCAGTTATACCTTTATCAAATTCTTATATTTATGTACAAACAACATAATAAATTAACTCCTATAATTTTTAATACATTTTTCAATAAAATTAATCACGTGTACCCTACAAAATTTTCAAATTACAATTACGAGCAACATAAAATACACTATTTGGCTACTAAATTTTCTATTGCCATCAGAGGTCCTAAATTATGGAACACTTTATTAAATAACCAGCTGAAAAATTGTTCTTCACTTTCTTTATTTAAACAAAAACTCAAACAAAAACTTCTTAAAGATGTTAATGAATTAAATTCTTTTTAAGATTCTTTTAACTTCTTTTTTAACAACTATCTTTTATGTTTTTTTTTGTTTTTACAATTTTCTTTTGATTATAGATTAGTAACTGATCTTAACATATTTGTATATATTTTTATATAATTTTTAAATGTTACAAAGTAATTTTATGTTTTATGTTTACATTTTAATGGTTATACATGCTTGCTGATGAAAGCACGTCGGGGTGTAGTGATATAGCAAATATTGTCTTCTTTTAGCCCTGGTCATGTAGATTTTATTTATATAACACGGCATTGTATTCTTTTTTTTTAATGACAAATAAAAAAAAAAAAAAAAAAGTGTCCGCTTTCTTATTATTTATTAAATCAGATACTTGTACATTTTTTATTTCTTTATATTTTCTAGTTGCAAAAAGGTTTTTTAATCTTTTCGATTTAATTTATTTGTATAACGACTTTTATACTTAGTATAAATTTTAAGTTTTAAGTTCGTCATCATTGGTTTCTGTGACAAGACCTGATAGCGTTCTTTCTTTCTTTATTTTTTATTTATTTATTTTTACAATATCTTTACTTGTAATTTTGTTTTTTACATTTGTATACAAATGTATACAAATATATTTGTATACAAATATATTTGTATCTTAAAAATTCTAATAAAAAATAAAAAACAAAATAAAAAATTTCAGACATTTTCCAGCATTGCCACCATTTAGTTATATCAAGTTAAAAACGCCTAAAGTTATTAAAGTTATATAAAAACGTAATTTGCTTTTTATTAAAAAAAAAGTTTTTTCAGTGCGACAATATTTTAGGACACATTAACCGCATTTTTATTAAAAAAAGACGTCTAATTTTTAAAAAACCCATAGTTGCTATTTTTTGAATTTTGAACTTCAATCATTCTGGAATGTAAAAAATTGTAATTTTTTTAAATACAGAAGATGCTAGTTGCATCCCATGCAGATGCAATGAATGGTTTTAAACCAGCTAGTGAACTATACTGCTTACAACTTTCAAAAATTAAATTTAACAACTGTCTCAACGCATTCTCGGATCTAGCTAGCCATTTCAAAGTTTCAATTTTACTGTTGCTTAAGCAATCATTATCGTCATGAAAAACAAAATTTTTGATGACAGATGCTTTACGTCGTAAAAATTTTTGAATATTTAGAAGTCTTTAGTCATTATTTCTTTCGTCAATATATTAAACTACTTATTTACCGTAACACCCAATCGCACACCAAATCAGTACACTAACAACACCCATTTAACCCTATTGCTGTGTTGCTGGCTATTTACGCAAATTGTGAAAAAAATAATTCTAATTGTCCGGCTTATGAAGCCAAAATCCTTTTTTTTTTAGAAAATACTTTTCGTTGCCACTCTTCTTTCCATGTTAAGTTATACTTTGCAATAGTTATTTGATCGTTTATGTGTTTTGTAGTCATATATGTTTGCGCTGAATTTTTTCACGCGATAGGTGAAAAGCATTATGAACAACTTACTGAATTATACATAAATTAGCAATTACACCTGCATCTGCAGCAATATGACGTGGAGTTAATGAAAAAATTATGCTTCGTTTTCAACAACTTTACCTATGACGGTCACTTAATGTTGATGGACGCCCAGGATTTTTTTTCCATAAGTATGAGGACTATTAATGTACTTAATGTTCCTCATACACCATAATATCCTTGTAACTAATGGAACGACCCATTTTCGTTAAGTGAGTGCGCATTTTTTTAAAATCTGGACTGAACAGTGAAGCACGACCCATTATCAACTAACTTGTTATTTTAAACTTAATAAAAAGGCATAAATTAAATTTTTGACAGTTCACAACAGTTTACAGTTAAATAATCGTCTGTGGTGTTGACATCAAATAAATATTCATACTTGCCCCCACAACTGCGGTTTGTAAATAAAACGTTTTTTGTAAAGGTATCTTGAATATTTGTCGCATTAAAAAAAAGAATTTTTCAAAATAAAAGCATAGGTAATTTAAAAATGAACTTTTTAAATCTTCGTTATTCCTGTATGCTACAAGCTTTATCATATTATTAATATTAAAATTGTTTTATAAGCTTTTGTGTTCAATTGTGTTTTTTAAAATTCTGAGAGTGGAGTGGGGGTGGAAGGCGTTTACGAAGTGTTGTTTTTACATTCTCTATAACTCTATAAAAAATGAAAAAACTAAATTAACTAAATTTTATGAATTTTTAGTTTTCAAACTCAATCAAAATGATAGTTTTCGAGTGGGCTTTTTATTATTATTTTTGTTCAATACATTCACTACTTTAAAAGTATTTACCACTTAAAAAATAAACGTTTTTGAAGAAAACAAATTCATCTGTAAAACTTGTTTTTTTTAATCTTATGATAGATTTTTGAAAATATTTTCCTAACATTTCAACGCCATTATAAGTTGACCTTACATTAAAGCATTCGAAACCAGTAACAAAACAGTTTGACTTTCTTGTGACGTTTTTATTAGTTTAAGAATAAAAGTTTCCAGAGTTTAATTTACAGAATTTCCCTACCTTTCATAAAGACATAATTGGTCATATATCTGACGTAGACAAAAAATTTCATTTTCGAAACCTACGCAGAATTTTTTATTAAAAAACCCACGGCCAAAAAAACTTAAATTTTTCTACAAACTTGACTAACACTGATACAAAAGTGCAATGAAGGTATTTCATTTTTTTACAAATACTAAGTTCATTTTCAATATAACTAGAAACAAACGTATTGCCAATTTTTTACTTATAAGGAAGGTTTTTAAGGATCATTAACTACAAAGTTTTTAACTTATCTATAAATAATAAATTTACTTTAGAACGTAAAATTTGCGTCACAAAAGGTTGTTCTTCTGATGACTCTCACAATAATAAACGGAATGCCAATACAAAATATGATTAAACAAATCAATTTTAAACATGATACTAACATTAGACATGATGTTATTTTTTTACCACAAGTTATGCCAGAAGAAGAAAAACAAAAAATAGAGAATTTATTTGAAAATATATACTTACACATAAATAGTTCCGACTTAAAAGAATGTATATTTAAAAGCCAACTTAATAAAGACGGTACTTACGAAGTTGTACTCAATTTAAACGGTTACGTAGATTACTTATTATTAAGAAATATAGACATACGTAGACTTAAAATGAACAAAAGTTGCTGCGATAAAATTTCTTCCACAACATATTACGTAGTTCTAAAAAACTTAGAGCTTATTGGAGAACCTTGTAAATGGAAAAAGTGTTAGTGCGCAAAATGATTTTAATATCAAGCCGGATAATTTTTTAGATATGTATATATAACTTTTAATATCTATATAGTTAACTATATACTATTTATTTTCTAATATATTTATTTCTTGTTTTAGCTAAAAAGATGTAATAAATTATTTAAATTTAGAACTTTTTAACAAAAAGTTTAATTAATCTTTTAAGTTATTTATTTAAAGATAGAAGGTATATTGTTTTCAAATAATCTAACTGTATTTATTTAAAGCAAAAAGTTTTTTTTTTTAAATGTTAAGCTATTTATTCAACGCTTTAAGTGATTTTTTAAAAGTTTAATTTTATTTATTTTAAGCTTATTGATAATTTTTTTTTTAATTTAAAGTTCGCTATTTAAGGCATAAAGTTATTTTTTTAATTTAAAGTTTTTTATTTAAAGCTTAAAGATATTTTTTTTAAATTATTTGTAAATAAAGTTCAAAACTTAACTTATAGTTTTTATTAAATGTTTTCATTATATAATAAGTTCATTCAATCCATCTTTTTTTTAATAAAAAACTTTATTATATTTATACTTTATAGTTTTTCAAAATATTTAATTTATTATTAAAATAACTAGTGGGATAAAGGACGTCACCATTTTTTAACCAATTTTTGACTCTCTCCCCTCCTTTGTCACCGGTTGTCCTTTTTCCCTATACCCCCTGGAAAAGGATGTCATAAAATCCTGACCCCCCTCCGTATTTTTAACTCCAAAAAAATTTATTTCATCTTGCAATGATGTTTGAATCTGCTGCTACACCTTTGAAAAATAAAATTAAAAATATTCTCATACATTATCTTCTCAAAAACACATGTTTATGTAGTTTTCCATGTTACTTAAACTAAAATGAAAAATTAATAAAGTGACGTCTTTTTCTGACAACCTTCCCCCTCCCCTTATCTTTTTTTGTCCTATTTAACTCGACCCCCTTCCCCTCTTATTTGGAAGACGTCCTTTATGGATCGTCCCTAGTAACATGCTAAATGAAAAGTAACCCAGTGGGAAAAAATGTATCTTTAGATGAATAAAAGACGTCTTTTTTATGACTTGTTATGTCTTTTTATAATTAGCCTAAATAAAGACATTTAAATGACTTTATTAAAAAAGTTGTCGAAAGACGTTTCCAAATGGGAAACAACTTAAATTGTTAATAAGCTAATTATAATTTGCTTTTTATATTTATAATAAACAAATTATTATTTGCTTATTAACAACTTATATTATAAATAATCAAATCATAATTTGCTTGTAGGAAAGAAAATTGACAATAATTATTGCCAATAGAACCCCAGTGGGAAATCGGCTAGCGAATAGCTAGCTATAATCGTAACAATAAAGAAAACAATATGGCCAAGAAGATCGGTAGCTTTTTTAAGTTAGCTAAAAAGTTATCGATATTTTTAAAGATAAAAACAGCAATTTGGCTACGAGGACAGCTAGCTTAATATGCTAAAGACCCATTCGCTATTGTAGCTAGCGTCATATCGTAATAAAACCGCTGTCCAAAAGCTTTTGAAATGTCGCCGTCAACCTGCTATAGATTTGTGGATATATTGTAGCTAACTACAAAGCCACAATATGTAACGAGCAACACATTGCTACAAAATCGCAATGTTATTTATTTATCCAAACCAAAAGTTTTGCAGACAATTCTAAATATAAATCTGTTGTCATTATGTATATTTTTTATTTGCTTTGTTAACGACAGACAACAATAACAAAGAAATAACAACTTTAACATAAAAGTTAAAGAGCCAATCTTTTGTCATAACAATATCATCATTTAACTAAATACAAACAACAAAACTATTCATATATTCATATATATATATATATATATATATATATATATATATATATATATATATATATATATATATATATATATATATATATATATATATATATATATATATATATATATATATATATATATTATATATATATATATATATATATATATATATATATATATATATACATATATATATGTTTTAACTCATAATATCGTAATTAGGACATTATGGGTTATAACTCATCTTTTTTTTAAAGTTTTTTTTGTTTAAAGTTTAATTATTCTCATAACTATAATAGACTCAACCCTGAAAATCGAAATTTTATAGATGTTAAAAATATAAGGTAGTTATTCCAAACGAATTTTTTATAAATTAAATATTGAAATATAATTGATGTCATTGTATAGAGCCTGGCTTGACTTGAAAAATGAGGGGTCATTCGGCCTTTGAAGTTAAGCGGATAAAAAGTTTTGAACTTTTTGTGGTGGAAAAATTGATGATTTTTTGACAAAAAGTTAAGTATAGGGCTTAAGTATGGAAAATTTGCTATGATATGGCACCGAAAATGAGAGTATTATTTTTGAATAACTTTTGAAACCGTTAATACATTTGACTTGAAATTTTCCACAGTGACTCATTAACTATAAGAAAAGAAAATTCCAAATATTTTTTTAAAAAATCTGACGGGAATAACCAGGATTGTTTATTTTAAAGACTGAAGGTTTTTACTAATTTATATATTTTTTTGGGTCATGCTGACTTTAGAATAACTTTTGAACCGTTAATACATTTGAATTGAAACTTTCCACAGTGATCTACCAACTATAAAAAATAAAAGTTCCAATTTTTTTTTTTTAAATCTGTCAGGATTGTCCAAAACCACCTATTTTACAGACTGAGAGTTTTTACTAATTTATATATTTTTGGGGTCATACTGACTTTTTAATAACTTTTGAATCGTGATTATATTTGACTTGAAATTTTTCACAGTAATCAAACAACTGTAAGAAAATAAAAAACCAAAATGTTTTTAAAAAAAATTTGTCGCGATAGACCAGAATCATCTATTTTACAGCTTGAAGGTTTTTATATTTTTTTCTTATTTTTGGAGAATAAAATTTGAAGTAAAATTATAATTATACCAGGCAAATATGCTTAAAGAAATCATGGAATTTAAAAAATAGATCATTTGAAAACTATTGCATAATTTACAGACCGGCCAGTGAAATAATTGCATAAATTACAGATTCGTCAGTAAGTTGCTAAAAATGGGCTGTACAAACAAATTAAACATATCAACTTTAAATAATTTGATATTTTTATAAATTTTTTGATATTTGTGAACCGTTATTACATTTGACTTGAAATTTTAAATAGTAAACCAGTTTTTATTAAATCTGTTAGAATTATCCAGGAACGTTTATTTTACAGACTGAAGGGTTTCTACTTATTCAATTGTGCTATGAGGAAAAAAATTAGGGTTACACTATGCAAATATGCATAATGGAATCATGGAATCTGAAAAATACATCATTTTGAAATTATTGCATAATTTACAGACTGGTCAGTAAGTTTCTGCAAAAGGGTTGCACAAACCAATTGGGCAATATAACTTTGAATATATTTCATAACTTCTACTGTTATTATGTTTGAATTGAAATTTTCGATAGGGATACAAAACTATAAGAAAACTAAATGCCATAATTTTTTTTACATTTATCGGGATTATCCAGAATCGTTAATTTTACGGACTGAAGTTTTTTTACTTATGTACCTAGTCTTTAAGAATAAAATTTCAAGTTATATTATAAAAACTCCATGCAAATATGCATAAAGAATTGTAGAATCCAATTAATTCATCTGTTTAAACTATTGCCTAATTTAAAGACCAATAAGTAAATTACTGCGTAAGGGCATCTATCTGAAACACTCAGAATTATCAATTTAACAGACAGAAGATTCATAAATAAAGTTATAATTTTAATTTAAATGAAAACAACTTACAGCAAAAGAACTTCCTGAAGTTTTTAGTACTTACATCAGCAATAGCAGGTGTAACAGCAGAAACTCTACCTAAAAGTGTAATAAAATTATTATTAAAAACACAGATACACAATAATTTTCAAAATATACTTGTTAAATCGCTTCAAAAATTAAAAATTAAAAAATATATATAAATTAACAATTAATACTAAATAAATATAAAATAAGAAACTTACTCTTTGTGAATATTTATGTGAACTATTGACAACGCCTAAGATAAAAAAAACAACATTAAAACAAAAAATGTTGCTATTATACAACTTATCTCTTGCCTTTTAGTGAATGATTAAAAGTAGCAAGTTTCTGTAATGAAACAATCTAACAACCATTTTTAACACTAGACACCAGCGGGAATGTAAGCCAAGTTGTCTATCAATACAAAACATCACAACAATAACATCACTATCACAAAACATACAGACCCTGTGGCACTTAACGCTGCAAATTTGCAGTAGTGTCAATTTTTAGCTAACAATGTTAACTTCTATCCTTAGTTCTTTACCGTTTAACCAAAATTAATGATCATCCTGAAAAGCTTACAGGTGGCTCTATTTGTCGATAACATAAGAAACATATGGATTTGAATCATCTCAATTTAGAGTTGACCTGCTTACTGTCGTTACAGAAAGATTTGAAATTATAATTACATTTATAGTCTTTAAAAAGTCTTGGCAATCTTGTTGATATTTCTATATTGATGAATGGCAAATTTTTACTGTATTTTCTATTTTATATGGTCTCTGATTATCTTTTTGTACTGATCTCTGATGGAAATCATATATACAAATCATTTCTAAGTTAGTATTTGTATACAAAAATATAGTATTTTATTGCTCCTAGGTGCTCTAAAAAAATCTTATTGGTCTAGTTTTTTTCCTAGAACATCAGTTTTTTATAATACTCCCCATTCATCTTGTTTTCCTGATTCATATAATTTGCAATCTTTTTAGTTGTCTGTTAATCATTACTTTGCTTTATAAGCTTCATCTTGGATCATCCAGTAACTACCAACTCTAAAAGTGGTTGCTTCCAGCCTTGTTGGAAATACAGATAGTTAAAATAAAAAGTCATTCTTGCATAATTTGCTGATGATTTGCTACCTTCTGTTAATTGTTTTATCCCTACTTCTGCCCAAACTTACCTACTTCTTCCCTTCTTTTGGAACAAGCTCTAGAGAATTTGTTCAAGAAAATGTTTCTGCTTCTAAAAGTTTATTTTCTGACTTAATTTTGAAAACTGCTAATGATGTTTTTTCAAACTCTGTTATTTAAACTTCTGTTGTAGAAAAATACAAATAGATTTAAATTATTGATAGAATAAAAAACTTCAATCATAAGAATTCTTAAATTTCTTACGTGAACTCTGGGCTATTATCAAATAACAATAATTCTTCAAAAGATAAATCAAATCTTTTGTGTACTATGCACAAAGCTTTTTAATGAACTTTTTTAATAAGCATGTTGTCATGTTTAGAACAAAACATCCATATTATTGGACATTATGAGAAATTAGACAAAATAAAAGTGTTGAATAATAGTATAGGGTTTTTAAGTGTTAAAAAATTTCTTAGGCGACCAAAAACAAAACATTTTTTTTAGCTTTACTACATAACAACTTTATATGTTCACCAAACTTTAAACCCTTATCTATAGTAACCCCAAGTAGCTTCACCTTTTCAGAGGCAAACATTTTTATGTTTCCTGTTCTTAGAAAATAATGTTCATAGTTTATTATACCAACTCCCAGCTAGCACACTTACATTGGGCCAACGTATGTAAAATTATCGCGAACGTTGGCTATTTTTTCCAATGCTAAACTAACGTTGATCCAATGTCGTTTGGATAATAATAATATTATTACCGACGGAACTAAAAACATCTGGCAAATTGTATGTCCAATGTATGTAAAAACATCGCAAAATCTTGATTGTTTTTACGAATTAAACCCAACGTTGATACAATGTATATATTTCGACATTGATTCAATGTACATAAATCAACGTTTTTCCAATGTATGTAAAAACATCCCATAAATTTGATTGTTTTTACGATCTAAACCCAACCTTGATCCAATGTATATATTTCGACGTTGATTCAATGTATATGCATCAACTTTGATCCAATGTATGTAAATACATCTCAAAAAGTTGATTGTTTTTACAAACTAAACCCAACGTTGATCCAATATATGCGACCAAATATTGCAATTGTGAAATTATATAACTTAAATAAAATCTTCCGTGATTATCAAAATATCAAACCACAATCAACACAAACATGATTTTTGCTCCTATGATGAAGCTTTAGCTATGTTATAAATAATCACAAATACACAATGTTTAAGTCGAACGCATATGTACATATATGTATAAGGATATTTATATTAAATATTAAGTAGGATGTATATGTAAATGTAAGTAGGATGTATATATGTATATAAAATTAAATATATATATATATATATATATATAAATATATGCATATATATAAGAAAATACAATTTAATGAAAATTTATCTCCGAATATAAGGTTTTGCCAATAAAAGTTTAACGTTGAATCAACGTAAATACAACGTTGGGCCACCATATAAAATAAAACGTTGAATCAACGTACAAAATATAACCATTTTCCGACTTTAAATAAACGTTTTATTAATATTGGTTTTTAGTTGTTGGCGACGTCGCATTTGTAACCATAATGATTTAAAGACAACGTTGGCAGCCGATGTTGGGCCAAAGAAACGCGCGACATTGTTCTAATGTTTTAACAACGTATGTGTGCTAGCTGGGCTGTTATCACAAACATATAGAGTGTTGTCATCAGCAAAATTGCAAAGTTCAGTATCTTTAATAAATAAAAATATATCGTTTATAAAAAATGTTAAAGAAAATTGGGTCCAGAATATATTTTTTGGGTACTCCTGAAGAAATATCTGACTAATCTGAAATTGCAGAACCTAGATCATCACTCTTTGTTTGCGTTCACTCAGATATCTATGCAATAGTTTGATACTTTCATTAGAAAAGCCATATGTTCCAACTCAGCTATCACTAAATCATGAGAAATGAAGTCATATGCCTTAGAATGTAGTATAATAAACCGACAATATTTCCGTTGTCTATACATTCCAGCCATTTCCGGAGTAAACTGAATAGTGAATGCTGAGTACTATACTTTTTACGAAAATCACACAGCCGGGAATCCAATTTAGGTTCAATAAATTGTAGAATTTGTTGGTGTAAAATTAATTCAAAAAATTTTGATAGAGCAGGAAGTATATTTGTAGGACGGTAGGTTGATTTGTTTGTTGGATCTTTTTTAAAACAGGGTATAACATCAGCCATTTTCAAAAATGATGAGAATGTACCATCAGAGATACTATTATTTATGCAGTCTCTTAGACTATCACCAAAGTATAGGAAATATGATTTTAGAAAAACGTCGGAATATCACCACCAGTCTTTTTCTTACAATTTATTGAACCAATTATTTTTGAAATGTCATCTGTTGAGACTGGGTGAAATTTAAAACATTCACCGGACCAGGGACAGTTATTTTTAATAATTTTGACACTGGGATGGTTATTAAATTTAGCGATGAGCAATTCAGTGTCGACCATTGAACTACAAAAAAAATTCCCGGTATTTGATGACGCAGCGATGTTTACGAAAAATTAGTTAAACGCACTAGACAATAAACAGTTATCTGAAATAATTTCTCCCCCTTCAACCAAAGTAATACGTTCATTTAAACTACCCGATTTATTGGAGAAAAATGGTTTGCATAGTTTCCAAATAGAAGTCTTATCATTAATACACATTAATAGAAGTCTTATTATTAATAGACATTAATATTTTTGGTAAGTGGGTTTATTTTAATAAAGTAATATTTTTGGTAAGCGGGTTTATTTTAATAAAGTAATATATTATATAACACATACATAATATTTATATTTATATATATGCAATATCAATTTTATATGGGCACAATTATTATAATTTCTCTCCATATAAATTAAGGTGGTAGACTGCCAGAAAAATGTGAAAACATCATTTTTTTAAAAGTTGCCTAATTTTAAATTTTAACTATTGTAGATTTAAAAATTTTATAGGTCCCAATACGAAAAATGGTTTTTTGACTTAACAAACTAAATTTATTTTTAAAGAGCGATTTTGCTTCCCCTAGCAACGCTAATAAAAACGGCTTATTTAGGTTAACAAATATGGAACTTAACACATAGCTGATTCGTGGACTTTTTAATTGTGTTTTAAATACCATAGTCCGAAAGAACTTTGTTCTTATTAGCTTTATCATGAACATAATTAAAAGTTTATGCTATCAACATGAGTTTTGTAAATTAAAGAATTAAATCTAAAAGCTAAAAAGGTAAATGCTATAAATTATTTGGAAATAGAATCCACTTGTCAACGTATTTAAATTACTTTAGCATTAAAATAAGTTATATATTCCTTTAACAAATATATTTATTTAATACTTTAAAAGCTATTAGTAATAATAAAAAGAATGAAGCAATCATTTTTTAAAATTTCCCAAATAAAGCCATTTTTTATTTTAAAAAAAGAATGATTTTTGAGGTAAAATTTGACGATTACACCTTTAAGTCTTCTTATGCTAAGTATAGTCCTGTAAATTGAGATTCAGATTTTCGTCCTCTTTTTTCCTTTATCTTGCAATGACTAACACCCTGTTAATTATATTCAATATCCTGTTGATTCTAAATCTAATTTATCTCATTTATAGAAACTTCACAATTTAACACTCACAGTTTAACACAAACAAACTACAATGCTTATTTTTACCATTTGACTAAAAATTTGACATTTTATTATAAAAGGTCATTTTTAAAGTAATATAACACTTTTTATTGAATGAAATTTCCACGCTGAAGAGCAAATAATTTCCTAGTTCTGTTAAAATGCTAGATTTAACGTGACGTATTTTATGGATGACCCTACCCGACGGGCATTTGTTTTTAAAAGTTACGTTCTAAATGTATTTTAAATGTCTTTTAAACGTCTTCTAAATATTCTTACGCAAAAAACGTTTAAAAGACATTTAAAATACATTTAGAACGTAACTTTTAAAAACAAATGCCCGTCGGGTAAAGTAATACACAAATTTATTAAAAAAAAAAATTAAAAAAAACCTGAAAAAACAAATATACGTTAACAAATTAGTAGTTAAACTTTTAATTATAAATCTTTTTTTGATTTAGAAATTTTTTTTCTACATTTTGTTTATTTTTTTATATTTAAATTAATCTTATGACCAAAAGCTAAAATAAAATTTTTTTCCCTTGGGAAAGTAATTCCCGAATTCTTACTGAATGTAAGAAGTAAGTTTGATTGAAGAAAGAGTAAACATTGAATTATGTCTTAAGTTTTAAGCAATTATGCTAACGCACTTCCTAAACTTCAAACAACAATTTATTAGTTTTATCGCAAAAGAATTACAATAAAAATAAGTTCATGTGTTTTTTAAGTAATACTTCCTATTGGATAACATGAAGCTCAAAAGCAATAGTTTGCACAACAACAAAGCTCACTAGTTGCTTTATCTACATTAAAAAAAAAAGTATTAAACTTAAATAATTTGTTTGAAAATCGGTAGAAACACTAGATACCCGGAAAAAATTTATTCCTGATTGTTATTTCATCGATAATAATACAATTTAATTAGCGGCGTCTAAAGATTTTTTAAAAAAAATTACCAACCAATAAATTATCTTGATAAACTTAAACAACCTTTACATCATCAAAAATTTAAAAAATTATCCATTTAATAAATGATTTATGGAACCCTATATTAGTTTTATGTATTTTTTAAAATTTCTTTACACATGTCACTTGATTATGGTCAACTTATAAAAATTTCCGTGGCACGTTTTTAAAAACTTTCACCTTGAAATGTTAAACTCTTTTGCTTATTTATATCATAAAATACACTTTTTTTAAATCTCCAATAACAACTGAATATTAACGATGCCTCTTTAGGCATCTTTCACACTGCAACCAATCAGTATTAAAATATTATTTCAAAAAAAATATCGGACTTTTTTTTTTTTTTTTTTTTTGTAAGAGGAGTTTTAGGATGTGCTAAAAAAAAAAAAAAAAAACTAAACAAGTTACAGTGTGTACTCCGCAGTGCCGTGGCTACTAGGTCCAAGCCACTCCCAAAATCTGTCATAAGGCATTTTTTATTAGGCTTTACTAAAA